AAGACCAGTGGTTTTTGTGAAGACCCGTGGTTTGTGTGAAGACCCAGTGGTGTGTGAAGACCAGTGGTAGTGTGAAAACCCGTGGTAGGTAGAGAAGACCAGTGGTAGTGTGAAGACCAGTGGTAGTGTGAAGGGCAGTGGTTGTGTAGAGAAGACCAGTGGTAGTGTAGAGAAGACCAGTGGTAGTGTAGAGAAGGACAGTGGTAGTGTGAAGACCAGTGGGAGTGTAGAGAAGACCAGTGGTAGTGTGAAGAACGTGGTTGTGTGAAGACCAGTGGTTGTGTGAAGACCAGTGGTAGTGTGAAGACCAGTGGTAGTGTAAGGAAGACCAGTGGTAGTGTAGAGAAGACCAGTGGTAGTGTAGGGAAGACCAGTGGTAGTGTAGGGAAGACCAGTGGTAGTGTAGAGAAGACCTGTGGTAGTGTGAAGACCAGTGGTAGTGTAGGGAAGACCAGTGGTAGTGTAGAGAAGGGCCCGTGGTTTGTGTGAAGACCAGTGGTAGTGTAGGGAAGACCAGTGGTAGTGTGAAGACCAGTGGTAGTGTAGAGAAGACCAGTGGTAGTGTAGGGAAGACCAGTGGTAGTGTAGAGAAGACCAGTGGTAGTGTAGAGAAGACCAGTGGTAGTGTAGAGAAGACCAGTGGTAGTGTAGGGAAGACCAGTGGTAGTGTAGAGAAGACCAGTGGTAGTGTAGGGAAGACCAGTGGTAGTGTGAAGACCAGTGGTAGTGTAGGGAAGACCCGTGGTAGTGTAGAGAAGACCAGTGGTAGTGTAGAGAAAAAACCAGTGGTAGTGTAGGGGAAGACCAGTGGTAGTGTAGAGAAGACCCGTGGTAGTGTAGGGAAGACCCGTGGTAGTGTGAAGACAGTGGTAGTGTAGGAAACCAGTGGTAGTGTGAAGACCAGTGGTAGTGTAGAGAAGACCAGTGGTAGTGTAGAGAAGACCAGTGGTAGTGTGAAGACCAGTGGTAGTGTAGGGAAGACCAGTGGTAGTGTAGAGAAGACCAGTGGTAGTGTGAAGACCAGTGGTAGTGTAGGGAAGACCAGTGGTAGTGTAGAGAAGACCAGTGGTAGTGTAGAGAAGACCAGTGGTAGTGTGAAGACCAGTGGTAGTGTAGAGAAGACCAGTGGTAGTGTAGAGAAGACCAGTGGTAGTGTGAAGACCAGTGGTAGTGTAGAGAAGACCAGTGGTAGTGTGAAGACCAGTGGTAGTGTAGAGAAGACCAGTGGTAGTGTAGAGAAGACCAGTGGTAGTGTGAAGACCAGTGGTAGAGTAGGGAAGACCAGTGGTAGTGTAGAGAAGACCAGTGGTAGTGTAGAGAAGACCAGTGGTAGTGTGAAGACCAGTGGTAGTGTAGAGAAGACCAGTGGTAGTGTAGAGAAGACCAGTGGTAGTGTGAAGACCAGTGGTAGTGTAGAGAAGACCAGTGGTAGTGTGAAGACCAGTGGTAGTGTAGAGAAGACCAGTGGTAGGGGTAGAGAAGAACCCGTGGTAGTGTGAAGACCAGTGGTAGGTTTGGAAGACCAGTGGTAGTGTAGAGAAGACCAGTGGTAGTGTGAAGACCAGTGGTAGTGTAGAGAATACCAGTGGTAGTGTGAAGACCAGTGGTAGAGTAGGGAAGACCAGTGGTAGTGTAGAGAAGACCAGTGGTAGTGTGAACACCAGTGGTAGTGTAGAGAAGACCAGTGGTAGTGTAGAGAAGAACAGTGGTAGTGTGAAGACCAGTGGTTAGTGTAGAGAAAACCAGTGGTAGTGTGAGACCAGTGGGGAGTGTAGAGAAAAACCAGTGGTAGTGTGAAGACCAGTGGTAGTGTGAAGACCAGTGGTAGTGTGAATACCAGTGGTGTGTGAAGACCGTGGTAGTGTGAAGACCCGTGGTAGTGTAGAGAAGACAGTGGTAGTGTGAGAAGACCAGTTGTAGTGGGAGAGAAGACCAGTGGTAGTGTGAAGTCCAGTGGTAGTGTAGAGAAGACCCGTGGTAGTGTAGAGAAGACCAGTGGTTGTGTGAAGACCCGTGGTAGTGTAGAGAAGACCGTGGTAGTGTAGGGAAGACCGTGGTTTGTGTTTGAGAAGACCAGTGGTAGTGTGAAGACCAGTGGTAGAGTAGGGAAGACAAGTGGTAGTGTAGAGAAGACCAGTGGTAGTGTGAAGACCAGTGGTAGTGTAGAGAAGACCAGTGGTAGTGTGAAGACAGTGGTAGTGTAGAGAAGGGCCAGTGGTAGTGTGGGAAAACCAGTGGTAGTGTAGGAAGACCAGTGGTAGTGTAGAGAAGACCAGTGGTAGTGTGAAGACCAGTGGTAGTGTAGAGAAGACCAGTGGTAGTGTGAAGACCAGTGGTAGTGTAGAGAAGACCAGTGGTAGTGTAGAGAAGACCAGTGGTAGTGTGAAGACCAGTGGTAGTGTAGAGAAGACCAGTGGTAGTGTGAAGACCAGTGGTAGTGTAGAGAAGACCAGTTGTAGTGTAGAGAAGACCAGTGGTAGTGTGAAGACCAGTGGTAGTGTAGAGAAGACCAGTGGTAGTGTGAAGACCAGTGGTAGTGTAGAGAAGACCAGTGGTAGTGTGAAGACCAGTGGTAGTGTAGAGAAGACAAGTGGTAGTGTGAAGACCAGTGGTAGTGTAGAGAAGACCAGTGGTAGTGTAGAGAAGACCAGTGGAAGTGTAGGGAAGACCAGTGGTAGTGTAGAGAAGACCAGTGGTAGTGTGAAGACCAGTGGTAGTGTGAAGACCAGTGGTAGTGTAGAGAAGACCAGTGGTAGTGTAGAGAAGACCAGTGGTAGTGTGAAGACCAGTGGTAGTGTGAAGACCAGTAGTAGTGTTTAAGACCAGTGGTTGTGTGAAGACCCGTGGTAGTGTGAGACCAGTGGTTAGTGTAGAGAAGACCAGTGGTAGTGTAGAAGAGACCGTGGTAGTGTAGGGAAGACCGTGGTAGTGTGAAGACCAGTGGGTAGTGGGGAAGACCAGTGGTAGTGTGAAAACAGTGGTAGTGTAGAGAAGACCAGTGGTAGTGAGAAGACCAGTGGTAGTGTGAAGACCAGTGGTAGTGTGAAGACCAGTGGTAGTGTGAAGACCAGTGGTAGTGTAGAGAAGACCAGTGGTAGTGTGAAGACCAGTGGTAGTGTGAAGACCAGTGGTAGTGTAGAGAAGACCAGTGGTAGTGTAGAGAAGACCAGTGGTAGTGTAGAGAAGACCAGTGGTAGTGTAGAGAAGACCAGTGGTAGTGTGAAGACCAGTGGTAGTGTAGAGAAGACCAGTGGTAGTGTGAAGACCAGTGGTAGTTGTTTAAGACCCGTGGTAGTGTGAAGACCAGTGGTAGGTGAAGACCGTGGGAGTGTGAAGGGCCAGTGGTAGTGTAGAGAAGACCAGTGGTAGTGTGAAGACCAGTGGTAGTGTGAAGACCAGTGGTAGTGTGAAGACCAGTGGTAGTGTGAAGACCAGTGGTAGTGTAAGGAAGACCAGTGGTAGTGTAGAGAAGACCAGTGGTAGTGTAGGGAAGACCAGTGGTAGTGTAGGGAAGACCAGTGGTAGTGTAGAGAAGGGCCTGTGGTTTGTGTGAAGACCAGTGGTAGTGTAGGGAAGACAGTGGTAGTGTTTGAGAAGACCAGTGGTAGTGTTGAAGACCAGTGGTTTGTGTAGGGAAGGGCAGTGGGAGTGTGAAGACCAGTGGTAGTGTAGAGAAGACCTGTTGGTTTGTGTAGGGAAGCCGTGGTGTGTAGAGAAGACCCGTGGTAGGAAACCGTTTGGAATGATGAGAAAGGTGTAGTTGGAAACCTGGAAGTTAGAACCCATTAAGGAAGGGGTTTAGGAAACAGTTTTAGAAGTGGTAGTGTAAAAGGTTTTTGGGCAAAGAAGAAAAAAGGGGAAAGTTTGGAGAAAACATGTAGTTGAAAGAATTTTTGACCGTGGGTTGTTAACAGTTATGAAGAAGTGGGGTTAAAATGTGAACATTTGTAAGGGCCCTGTAGTTAAGAAAAATTTATGGAAGACCAAACTAAGGGAAAAAACGATGTAGTGTGAAACAGAAAGGGGGTGTAAAAACCAATGAGAAAAGATTGGAACCCGGAGTTTCTAAAAAGGGGAGTTGAAGCGTGGTAGTGTAAAAAACGGTTTTTCCGAAAGCCGGGGTAAATTTTAAAGAGGAAATCCTGAAAAAGCCAATTAAACCCAAGGTTTGATCAAAGGGTTTTAAAAGAATTGGGGGAGGATGTCGTAAAATTTGTGCAAAAGAAGTGGGAAAAAGGGGGGGAAAACCATATTAAAGAAGTGGAGTGAAAAGCAAACCGGAGTAAGCACCAGGGAGTTAAGAAAGTGGAGTTTGAAAACTGTATTAAAACATTTAGTGGGAGACAGGTATTGGAAGAGGTGGGTTTTAAGAAGGAAAGGGAGTGTAGGAAAACCATTGGTAAGTAAAAAGCCGTGGGTGGGAAACAAGGGGAAGAAACCAGTGGTAGGTGGAAGAAGGGAGTGTAAGGGAGGGAAAGTGGTAGTGTGGAAAACCAGTGGTAGGTAGGGAGGAAGTGGTGTGTAGGAAACCGTGGTGTGAGGTAGAGGACCGGTTGAAAAACCGGAAGCCTTTGGGTTTTTAGGAAGGAGATTGGTAGTGAAAAAAGACCAGTGGTGTGGGAAGCCAGGGGGAGAAGACCAGGGAGGTAGGAAGACAATGTGGTTAGAGAAGACCGTGGTAAGGGAAAGGAGACAGGGTAGGGAAGACCAGGGGTAGGGCCAGTGGTAGTGGAAAGCAGTGGTATGGGGAAAGACGTGGTTAGTGGAAGACAGTGTAGGGAGGACCAGTGGTGGTAGGGAAGACCAGTGGTAGGAAAGAAACCGTGGAAAATGGAGAAGACCAGGGAGGTTGAAGACCAGTGGTGTTGGAAGGAAAAAACCAGTGGTAGTGGAAGACCAGTGGGGTGAAAGAAACCCGTGGTGTGAGAGAAGACCAGTGGTGAGTAGGAAGACGTGGTAGTGAGAGAGACCAGTTTGGGAGTGTAAGAAGACCCGTGGTAGTGTAGGGAAGACCAGTGGTAGTGTAGAGAAGACCAGTGGTAGTGTAGAGAAGACCAGTGGCAGTGTAGAGAAGACCAGTGGTAGTGTAGAGAAGACCAGTGGTAGTGTAGAGAAGACCAGTGGTAGTGTAGAGAAGGCCAGTGGTAGTGTAGAGAAGACCAGTGGTATTATAGAGAAGACCAGCGGTAGTGTAGAGAAGACCAGTGGTAGTGTAGAGAAGACCAGCGGTAGTGTAGAGAAGACCAGTGGCAGTGTAGAGGGACAGAGCTAGTAGTAGCAGTGACTAGTGATAGTGTAGAGAGACAGTGCTAGTAGTAGTAGTAGTGACCAGTGGTAGTGTAGAGAGACAGTGCTAGTAGTAGTAGTAGTGACCAGTGGTAGTGTAGAGAGACAGTGCTAGTAGTAGTAGTGACCAGTGGTAGTGTAGAGAGACAGTGCTAGTAGTAGTAGTGACCAGTGGTAGTGTAGAGAGACAGTGCTAGTGGTAGTAGAGACCAGTGGTAGTGTAGAGAGACAGTGCTAGTAGTAGTAGTGACCAGTGGTAGTGTAGAGAGACAGTGCTAGTAGTAGTAGTGACCAGTGGTAGTGTAGAGAGACAGTGCTAGTAGTAGTAGTGACCAGTGGTAGTGTAGAGAGACAGTGCTAGTAGTAGTAGAGACCAGTAGTAGTGTAGAGAGACAGTGCTAGTAGTAGTAGTGACCAGTGGTAGTGTAGAGAGACAGTGCTAGTAGTAGTAGTAGTGGTAGTGACCAGTGGTAGTGTAGGGAGACAGTGCTAGCAGTCATAGAGACGAGTGATAGTGTAAAGAAACAGGGCTAGTAGTAGTAGTAGTGACCAGTGGTAGTGTAGAGAGACAGTGCTTGTAGTAGTAGTAGTAGTAGTGACCAGTGGTAGTGTAGAGAGACAGTGCTAGCAGTCATAGAGACCAGTGATAGTGTAAAGAAACAGGGCTAGTAGTAGTAGTAGTGACCAGTGGTAGTATAGAGGTATTGATGTAGAGTATTAAAGAGACGAAATTGTGATAAGGGAAGAGAAAGAGAGCTAGAAGAACTGAACAGTAAAAGTAAGAACAGAAAGAGAGAGAGAGAGAGAGAGAGAGAGAGAGAGAGAGAGAGAGAGAGAGAGAGACCTAGACGGAATGACTGAGGATGCAGCCTCTGGCAGACAAGAGAAGTGACTTGATCCTGTCTCTGATAAGGTCAGTCTCCTCCCTGCTGAAGGTCTTGCCATGAGGCTGACAAGGTTTCTCTCGTTGCTGCTCCATACAGTCCAGGAACTCCTGTGAGGGAAGACACACGGGTCACTTGTGGGTACACACTGCAGGAGAGGCGGAAAGTCATGTAGTAGGTAACATTGGATGAAGGGGCGCACATTGTCTCTTGGGTCACACTTCAGAGGAAAAATAATGCAAAGAACACTTGGACTGCATGGATTGTGTGAAGTAGGTTATGGCTAGTTCAGTGCTTGGACATCTAGCAGAAATGTGTCTGAGTGTTACACGGGAGTGAGGGGGAACAAGTTTGTTACTTTCATAAGTACACTTGGGGTCAGGGGTGTGAGAAATGTAACATTCGTAAAGGATTCAGTGAAAGTGCTTACCTGGAAGTGAATTTTGAAAGTGTATAGTCATATCTGCTCTTGGAATGTCTGCTCTCTGAATGTCCGCCCTCTGAAGGTCTGCCCTCTGAAGGTCTGCCCTCTGAAGGTCTGCCCTCTAAAGGTCTGCCCTCTGAAGGTCTGCTCTCTGAATGTCTGCCCTCTGAATGTCTGCTCTCTGAAGGTCTGCCTCTCAATGTCTGCCCTCTGAATGTCTACCCTCTGAATGTCTACCCTCTAAATGTCTGCTCTCTGAATGTCTGCCCTCTGAAAGTCTGCTCTTGTAATGTCTGCTCTCGGAATGTCTGCTCTCTGAATGCCTGCCCTCTGAATGTCTGTCTTCTGAATGTCTGCCCTCCAAATGTCTGCTCTCTGAATGTCTGCTCTCTGAAAGTCTGCTCCTGTAATGTCTGCTGTCTGAATGTCTGCCCTCTGAATGTCTGCCCTCTGAATGTCTGTCCTGTGAAAGTCTGCTCTCTGAATGTCTGCTCTCTGAATGTCTGCTCTCTGAATGTCTGCCCTCTGAATGTCTCCCCTCTAAATGTCTGCTCTCCGAAAGTCTGCTCTCGTAATGTTTGCTCTCTGAATGGTTGCCCTCTGAACGTCTGTCTTCTGAATGTCTGCCCTCTAAATGTCTGCTCTCTGAATGTCTGCTCTCTGAATGTCTGCCCTCTGAATGTATGCCCTCTATATGTCTGCTCTCTGAATGCCTGCCCTCTGGAAGTCTGCTCGTGTAATGTCTGCTCTGAATGCCTGCCCTCTGAATGTCTGTCTTCTGAATGTCTGCCCTCTGAATGTCTGTCTTCTGAATGTCTGCCCTCTAAATGTCTGCTCTCTGAATGTCTGCTCTTTGAATGTCTGTCCTCTGAAAGTCTGCTCTCTGAATGTCTGCTCTCTGAATGTCTGCCCTCTGAAAGTGTGCTCTTGGAATGTCTGCCCTCTAAATGTCTGCTCTTGGAATGTTGGCTCTCTGAAAGTCTGCTCTTGGAATGTCTGTCCTCTGAAAGTCTGCTCTCTGAATGTCTGCTCTCGGAATGCCTGCCCTCTGAAAGTCTGCTCTTTGAATATCTGCCCTCTAAATGTCTGCTCTTGTAATGTCTTCTCTCTGAATGCCTGCCCTCTGAATGTCTGTCTTCTGAAAGTTTGCTCTCTGAATGTCTGCTCTCTGAATGTCTGCCATCTAAAAGTCTGCTCTTAGAATGTATGCTCTCTGAATGTCTGCCCTCTGAATGTCTGATCTCTGAATGTCTGCTCCATGAATGTCTGCTCTCTGAATGTCTACCCTCTGAATGTCTGCCCTCTAAATGTCTGCTCTCTGAATGTCTGCTCTCTGAATGTCTACCCTCTGAATGTCTGCCCTCTAAATGTCTGCTCTCTGAATGTCTGCCCTCTGAAAGTCTGCTCTTGTAATGTCTTCTCTCTGAATGTCTGCTCTCTGAATGTCTGCTCTCTGAATGTCTGCCCTCTGAATGTCTGCCCTCTGAATGTCTGCTCTCCGAAAGTCTGCTCTCGGAATGTCTGCTCTTTGAATGGCTGCCCTCTGAATGTCTGTCTTCTGAATGTCTGCCCTCTAAATGTCTGCTCTCTGAATGCCTGCTCTCTGAATGTCTACCCTCTGAATGTCTGCCCTCTAAATATCTGCTCTCTGAATGTCTGCCCTCTGAAAGTCTGCTCTTGAAATGTCTTCTCTCTGAATGTCTGCCCTCTGAATGTCTGTCCTCTGAAAGTCTGCTCTCTGAATGTCTGCTCTCTGAATGTCTGCCCTCTAAAAGTCTGTTCTTGGAATGTCTGCTCTCTGAATGTCTGCCCTCTGAATGTCTGCCCTCTGAATGTCTGCCCTCTGAATGTCTGTCCTCTATATGTCTGCTCTCTGAATGTCTGCCCTCTGAATGTCTGTCTTCTGAATGTCTCCCCTCTGAATGTCTGTCTTTTGAATGTCTGCACTCTAAATGTCTGCTCTCTGAATGTCTGCTCTTTGAATGTCTGTCCTCTGAAAGTCTGCCCTCTAAATGTCTGCTCTTGTAATGACTGCTCTCTGAATGCCTGCCCTCTGAATGTCTGTCTTCTGAATGTCTCCCCTCTGAATGTATGTCTTCTGAATGTCTGCCCTCTAAATGTCTGCTCTCTGAATGTCTGCTCTTTGAATGTCTGCCCTCTGAAAGTCTGCCTCTGAATGTTCCTTGAGCTGCCCTCTAAAGTCTGCCCTTTGAATTTCTGCCCTCTAAATGTCTGCTCTTGGAATGTCTGCTCTCTGAATGTTTGCCCTCTGAATGTCTGCTCTCTGAATGTCTGCCCTCTGAAAGTCTGCTCTTGGAATGTCTGCTCTCTGAATGTCTGCCCTCTGAATGTCTGTTCTCTGAAAGTCTGCTCTCGGAATGTCTGCCTCTGAATGTCTGCCCTCTAAATGTCTGCTCTCTGAATGTCTGCCCTCTGAATGTCTGTCCTCTAAATGTCTGCTCTCTGAAAGTCTGCTCTCAGAATGTCTGCTCTCGGAATGTCTGCCCTCTGAATGTCTGCCTACTGAATGTCTGCTCTCTGAATGTCTGCTTTCGGAATGTCTGCTCTCGGAATGTCTGCTCTCGGAATGTGTGCTCTTTGAATGTCTGATCTCTGAATGTCTTCTCTCAGATTGCCTGCTCTCTGAATGCCTACCCTCTGAATGTCTGCTCTCTGAATGTCTGCTCACTGAATGTTTGCACTCTGAATGTCTGCCCTCTGAAAGTCTGCTCTCTGAATGTTTGCTCTCTGAAGATCTTCCCTCTGAATGTCTGCTCTCTGAATGTCTGCTCTCTGAATGTCTGCGCTCTGAATGTCCGCTCTCGGAATGTCTACTCTCTGAATGTCTGCTCTCGGAATGACTGCTCTCTGAATGTCTGCCCTCTGAATGTCTGTCCTCTGAAAGTCTGCTCTCTGAATGTTTGCTCTCTGAAGATCTTCCCTCTGAATGTCTGCTCTCTGAATGTCTGCGCTCTGAATGTCCGCTCTCGGAATGTCTACTCTCTGAATGTCTGCTCCGAATGATGTCTCTGAGTCTGCCCTCTGAATCTGCTCGGTATCGGCTCTGAATGTCTGCCCTCTAATGTCTGTCTCTGAAAGTCTGCTCTCTGAATGCTTGCTCTCTGAAATCTTCCCTCTAATGTCTGCTCTCTGAATGTCTGCCCTCTGAAAGTCTACCCTCGAAGGTCTGCTCTTTGAATGAATGCCCTCCGAAGATCTGCCTCTGAATATCTGCACTCTGAATGTTGCTCTCTGAATGTCTGCCCCTGAAGTTTCTCAGAAAGTCTGCTCTCGGATTGTCTGTTCTTAAATGTCGCTCTGAGTCTGCCTCTGATGTTTGCTCTCTGATTCTGCCTCGAATGTCTGCCCTCTAAATGTTGCTCTCTGAATGTCTGCCCTCTCAATGTCTGCCCTCTCAATGTCTGCTTCTGAATGCCTGCTCTTGAATATCTCCCTCTGAAGTCTGCTCTTGAATGCTTCTCTCTGAATGTCTGCCTCTGAATGTCTGTCTCTGAAAGTCTGCTCTCGACTGTCTGCTCTCTGAATGTCTGCCCTTAAGGTGTGTTCTGAATGTCTGCTCTCTGAATTGTTCGTTGTCTGTCTCAAATGTCTGCCCTCTGATGTCTGCCTCTGTATGTTGCTCTCTGATGTCTGCCTCTGAATGTCTGCCCTCTAAATGTCTGCTCTCTGAAGTCTCCCTCTCAATGTCTGCCTTCAATGTCTGCCTTCTAATGTCTGCTATCTAATGCTGCTCTTTGAATTCTTCCTCTTGATTGAATGTCTGCCTCTAATGTCTGCTCTTGAATGTTTGCCCTCTGAATGCCTGCTCCTAAATGTCTCTTTCTGAATGTCTCTCTGAATGTACCTTCTGAATGTTGCTCTCGAATGACTGCTCTCTGAATATCTGCCTTGAATTCTGCCTCGGAAGTCTGCTCTCTGAATGTCTGCTCTTGAATGTCTGTTGCGAATTTTTTTGAATAACTGTCTTATATGTCTCCTTTGGAATGTCTCTCTGTAATCGTGCCTGTGTAATGTCCTGCACTCGAATGTATTTACACTGCCTTGGAAGTATTATTGATTCTGCCTTGGAAATTTTGTTCCTCTGAAAGTTGTTCCTCATGTGAGTTTAATGTATCACCTCCTGATGTAGTGGAATGTTCCCATCACTGATGGATGTATTAATGTTCGCATGCCTTAGTGTAATTGTATCACATGTACTGTTGAGGAATGTTCTGCACTTGAAGTTTATGTAAATGTCTTTGAAGTTTTAATTGTTCATGCATGATGGAAGGTTTTTGTCCTTGATGTTGATTTAATGTATTCTCTCAGATGTGTTTAATTGCCTACTCTGAATGTCTGCCTTGAATGTTGTCACATGTTGACTTGAATGTTGCCCTCTGAAAGTTGCTCTCTGAATTTTGCTCTGAAGATTTCCCCTGAATGTCTGCTCTCTGAATGTCTGCTCTCTGAATGTCTGCGCTCTGAATGTCCGCTCTCGGAATGTCTACTCTCTGAATGTCTGCTCTCGGAATGACTGCTCTCTGAATGTCTGCCCTCTGAATGTCTGTCCTCTGAAAGTCTGCTCTCTGAATGTTTGCTCTCTGAAGATCTTCCCTCTGAATGTCTGCTCTCTGAATGTCTGCGCTCTGAATGTCCGCTCTCGGAATGTCTACTCTCTGAATGTCT